AAGTTATGCTTTGGCATAATCGGCTAGGTCATTTGTCATTCAGGTCTTTGAAGAGTTTATTTTCCAGTTTGTTTGAGTCAGTTCAAATGTCTAGTTTAGAATGTGAGAGTTGTGAACTTGCAAAGCACTGTAGAACAACATATTCCTTGAGCAATAAAAGAAGTAGTATTCCTTTTGAAATTATGCATATTGATGTTTGGGGACCATATCACATCACTGCTATAGGGGGATACAGATATTTCTTTTTGTTTGTTGATGACTACACTCATTTCTCATGGGTGTATCTTATGCGCTCTCGAGATGAGGTCCCTACCCTAACTCGGATTTTTCATCAGATGGTTTTGACCTAATTTGGGGTCAAAATCAAAGCTTTCAGATCCGACAATGCTAAAGAGTACTTTGCAAAACCATTGGCTTCATATCTCCTCATACACCTCAGAAAAATGGGGTTGTTGAGAAGAAAAATAGACATATATTGGAGGTGGCCAAAAGCATTATGCAAACTTCCAATGTTCCCATATGTTTCTGGGGAGATGCTATCCACACTATTATGTACCTCATTAATCGAGTTCCTTCACAGCTCCTTGACATGAGAACTCCATATAACATATTATATCTTGATAAAGACTTGTTTGCCATTCCTCTTAAGAACTTTGGATGCACCTGCTTTGTTTAGATTCATGGACCTCATTGCTGTAAATTTGACCCTAAAGCTTTGAAATGTACTTTTCTTGGTAATGCACAAAATCAAAAAGGGCATTGCTACTATGAGCCTGTATCTAAGAAACGGCTTGTTTCTATAGATGTCACATTCTTTGAGGATGTACCCCATTATCATAGAGTTTCTTCTCAAGGGGAGAGTAGCGAGATGAGACCTCATTCATCAGAAATTCCATTACCTGTCCCAACCACTGAAGGGGAGTGTAGTGAGGAGGGTTGTCAAAGATGTCAGGATTTGAGGGTGTATCACAGACAGTGGAGGCAAGTTGATTTTGGTCATCAACAGTTCATGCCAACTCCAATTCCCTCTATGACTCTAGATTCAAATACCACAGTCCCTTTATCCCCTGCTACAGATGAGATACCTTCCATGCCTCCCATTGTTGAGCCTTCCCCTCATCCTTTGAATGATCTTGATCTTCCAATTGCAGTTCGTAAGGGGAAGTGTTGTTGTACCTCATCTATAAGCCATTGTATTTCTTAGTTTCTGTCTTATGATCATTTGTCTCCATCTTATAAGTCCTTTTTGACATCAATTGTTGCTATTACCATTCCCAAGTTGTCAACAACTAAGTGGAAGGGTGCAATGAAGGTGGAGACAATGTTTTAAAAGTGCAAGGCGCAAAAAAGGCGCAAGGGCCATTTTGCGCCTGAGGCGCGCGCCTTTTTGAGGCAAGGCACACAATTTAAAAAAAATCAAAAAAATTATAAAACATAATATTAATAAAAATATTAACTTAAGTTTTAAAATAAATGTTTTAAAAAACCTATTATATAAAATTAAAATACATAAATATAATATGTAAAGCATATTCAAATGAGAATTTAAAAATGAAATCAAACATATAAAACATTTTCAAGCATATAAAACCCACAATCTCTTTTTTTTTCTCAATTGCATTAAGCAACTAATGTGATATATTACATTCCTAATTCTAAGAGCAGCCTTTGTGCCACACCCCTCGACCCCCGACCCAGCGACCAGACTCAAAAAAAGGGAAAAAGTAGCAAATTTTCAAAAGGCGCACGCCTAGGCTAAGGCGCAAGGTGCACCAGGCGTGCGCCTTTTGAATGGGCTGCGCCTAGGACCTGGGCGAGGTGCCTACCCTAAAATGCGCTTCGCCTGAGCGCCTTTTAAATCACTGGGTGGAGATGGATGCTCTTCTAAAAAACAATACATGGGAGTTAGTTGATCCGTCTAAAGGGAAGAAACCGGTTGGGTGCAGATGGGTGTTTATATTGAAACATAATGTTGATGGCTCCGTTGAAAGATATAAGGCTAGATTAGTTGCAAAGGGGTTTACATAGACATATGGCATAGACTATTTGGAGACTTTTGCACCGGTAGCCAAGATGAATACCATCAAAGTTCTACTATCCATCGCAACAAATTTCTCAATGCCATTATTTCAAATGGATGTCAAAAATGCCTTCCTCAATGATGATTTGCAGGAGGTGTATATGGAATTACCTCCCGAATTCTATAATGCATAAGCAGGGAAGGTTTGTTGACTGAATAAGGCCTTATATGAACTAAAACAATCTCCTAGAGCAAGGTTTGATAGATTCAAACAAGCCCTTGAAAAATTTGGCTAGGTATAGGCCCAATCAAATCACACTCTTTTCATTAAGAAGATGGATTCCTCCTTGACTCTACTTGTTGTATATGTCGATGATATTGTTGTGACAGGTAGTGATACCCGTGAAATAGACTCTCTTAAGCAATTGCTTCACCAAGAGTTTGAGGTCAAAGACTTGGGAGAACTACGATATTTCTTGATTGAGGTAGCACGGTCCAAAAATGGAATTTTTGTCTCCCAAAGGAAGTACGTTCTCAATCTTTCGAAAGAAACTGGGAAGCTAAGTGTTAAACCTGCTGACACACCTATTGAACAAATCACAGGATAAGTGCAAAAGGTGGAGAGCCCCTTGAAGACAATGTTATGTTTCAACGATGGTTGGGAAACTCCTTTATCTTTGCCTCGCACGACCGGACATTTCTTATGCGATCAATGTTGTTATCCAGTACATGCATTCCCCCAGAACCACTCATCTTATTGCAGTAGATAGGATTTTTGCTTATCTGAAGAGATGTCCAGGCAGAGACATACTCTTCAAAGATAATGGTCACATGAAAATAGAGGTCTACACAGATGTTGATTGAGGTGGGTGTGTTGATGACAGGAGATCCACCTCCGTGTATTGTGCCTTTGTAGGAGGAAAACTTGTCTCTTGGAGAAGTAAAAAACAGAATGTTGTTGCTCGTTCAAGTGTTGAAGTTGAATACAGATCTATGACTAATGGTGTGGCCGAAGTCCTATGGTTGAGATCTCTATTTGAAGAACTGGGCATTCCTTATGAGAAGCCCCTGATGTCGTATTGTGATAATCAGGCCGCTATTAATRTTGCCCATAACCCGGTTCAACATGAAAGAACTAAGCATATCGAAGTGGATCGACACTTTATCAGAGAGAGTTGCCTCTCAAGAAGTGTGTCTTCCATATATTGCCTCTGACATGCAGCTTGTTAATCTCTTCACTAAGGCAATTCCAAAGACCAAGTTGAAGACAGACTTACGCAAGTTGGGAATGATTGATACCTACTCCCAACTTGGGGGGAAGTGTAGAGTTGTAGGGCAATAATGTCTTTATTTATGTTGCTATTAGCATGTTAGTAGTGTCAACAAGTTAGTGATTTCAGTTTCTTTCTTTAGTTGCTGATAAGTTATGTTACTAAGGGAAATATTGTAAGTTAGCTATTTTTTAAATCTTTAATATAAATAGCTGAATGGGGCGGCAATGTAAGTGATAACCCACACTCTTTTCTGAATTCTCTCTCTCTCTCTCTCTCTCTCTCTCTCTCTCTTCTTCTTCTTCTTCTTCTTCTTCTATTCTCTATTTTTCTTGTTGAATTCTCATCTTGAGTAGGACTGATCACAGTCTCTACTAGACAAGTTTCCTGTTAACTTTTGTTTTGGATTTTATTTTTATTCTTCTTCATGTCTTAATTTACTTCATTTGTACTGCAATCAAACAAAATAAGCTAAAACTTTAAACAAAAATAGGTCAGTATTTACACTCAAATCATTTGCACTGCCATGGTTTTGCATCAGTACAAATTTATTTGCATTGCAACCAAACACAGCCTAAAGAACAAAATAGCATATGAAAATAAAAAATAAAATAAAATAAAATTTGAAAGAAAAAGGATTAAGTGTTCCTAAAATACATGAAGATAAGATATTTTACAGGTGAACATAATCTACCAAAATGAAAGACTAACTCTTCCCCAACTCAGCACAACTAAGGTCAATGAACCATTCCAAAAATGGCCATCCAACATACAATAAGCAATTCAATAACTGAAACAATCTAGGGAGGTACCTGCACAATCATCAGTTATGTTTTGCACTAATCATATATTTATTCTGTTTTGTTTTTACTTTTTCTGGATATATTTTTTATTGGAAAACAGTAACCTTCAATTGAATTTAAAAACGTTACAACAGTCCAACATCCAATGTAACAATTGCTGAAAAACAAATTGCAAAGCAGGCCAAGAAAGCTCCTCCCTACTAGCCCCTTGTTTATCTAAGCTGTCAGCCCAAAAAAGCATCCCTTAGATTATGTTAAATATAAACAACCATTCAGTTACTCGTTGAAGAAATAACAACAGCTATAATAGTTCAAAACTGCGTAGAAATTAATGCTGTCCAACATAATTTGAAATTTAATATGCATTTGTTACTCTTAGAAAATAATATAGAATCCAAATTTTTGTTTTCCGAAAAAAAAAAAAAAAGTTAGTCAACATTTCCAACTTCAACCATGACATAATTTCCTTGTCAAGGATTGATGCAAGGTTCAAAGTATCGATACACCTTTGTGCATCAGCAGAGATGTATCAGTACTTTGAACGACACTCAGTTGGAATACTATGGCCACAGGAATAGTACTCCAAAGCATCCTCCCTCTCTTGTTAATACTTTTCCAAGATTTCAGATGGTTCTCCAAACTGTCTGGGAAGCACCAGTTAAGATTAAACATCCTGCAGAAGTGAGAGTATACATCTCCGATCTCCTACCATTTTAAAGTGTATCATTAGATGGCTGACTGTCTCCTTGTTCTGAATAAAAAATCTTTTATGTCTAACAGAATTTATAATGCTGAAAAGGGAGGGGGAAGAGGATTCCCCTTCCTGCTATATATAATGAAAATACCAGCTACCTTGCAAAAACATGAATGCCAGAAAAATAATGCAATACAGAAAAGAAGCTTAACCTTTGCAAGACCACCAAGTAGAACAACAGACTTTTGTTCATTGAGACCTGTAAGTGCTGTATATGTTGCTTCAACATTTGTCGCCTTGCTGTCATCCACCCATGTTATCCCACGGGTATCGCTATATACTGCAGTCAAAACATGAAATCAGAAAAGAATTATATATAAGCACGTCACCACACAGTGGACCAATTCCTTAAGTAGAACATCACAATACCCAAAATTTATTTTCTCTGGAGAGAAACAGAACATGCATTCAAAAAATGGTCGATTCTTCAGGAGATCCAATTTGGCATTAACATTGCATGACATGACTGAATGTTATGTGGCAAGTTCTGGCAGGGATGGAGCCACGGGGGGACCCAGTGTTATGTGGACCAATTCCTTTCACTTGTAAAAGGACAGTATGTTAACTTAACATAGATTAATTGTAGTATGTTAGCATACATTACCAAGAGGTCATAAGTGCAAGTCTTCTTATTAGCATTTTAAAGTTTGTAGTGATTTAGTGATCTGGGTGGGTCATGAAACCTAGATGGCTCATTGAAGCCTGGCCAGATTTCAACAATACCACTGGGTTTTGACCAGTTTTACCGGTTTTTTAGAAATATAAAAAAACAGGGTATTAAAAAACTAGTTCCCAGGTGTAGAAGGTACAGCTTACTAAGGTGCATCTTCTATAACCACATGTGTGGCATCTTGAAATTCATGCTCTACAACTGTAGGTGTAGCCTTTTTTTTTATCAATGACAGTAAAACTTTATTAATAATGTGAAAATTTAAGAAGATTTAGATACAACAGGGGAGGTAAAAAGACTTAACTGTAGGTGTAGCTTCTTGAGGTGCAACCTCTTCAACTGCAATTTCAACATCTTGGAGTACTTCCTCTACAGCTACTAGTGTAGTGTACTAAGGTCTCACCTTAGCAAATGGTCTAAGCGATAGCATTATAAGACTCAACCTCATATGGTGATCATCAGGGTTACTGGTCTTGCTCCATGGTTCATAAAAAAAGGGGGAAAATCATTACACTTCCTTCTTAGGAGGATCTTATCCTCCAAGAATATTGTCCCGTAACTTACAAACACATTTTGCTCTTAGTGTCATAGAAAGTGCAACCCATTAGGGTCCTAGGTTCTGATTTAGTCACTTGCAACTTCCTAACATGTGCAGATGAGCCTCATGCATGTAAGTGTTGCAATGATGGCTTTTGCCCAACCCAAAACTTATAAGGATTATGTATATAGCAGCCTAAAGAGCATATCCCCAAAAGAGTAATAGGTAACTCCACATGACTCATAATTGAGCAAATGCTATCAATTAGAAGATGATTCCTCCTCTTTGAAACACCATTTATTTCCGGTGTGTTGGGTTTCGTCCACTGTGACACTATCCCAATATCCTTAAGATATCCTCTTAAACTCATGGTAAGAAGACTTTTACCATGCACCTAATATTACAACACTAAATGTTGAACTCAAGTGGTTGTCCATAAAATGGCCATCTCTATTGCAAACTTGAGGCTACAAGATCAAACACATGGAAGCTCTCTTGGCAACCCTAGCGAGGCAGGTATCGGCAGTGCATCCCCCAAGGAGGAATGATATTATCATTTAGGCTTTTAGTGGGACAATTTAGGTGGTTGGCTCCACAAAAGCAGAAGCTGTGGATGCCTTAACTGAGCTTCAAATTGCTAAACAGTTGGGTCTATCATCTCTAACTTAGAAGACAACTCGAAAAACACCATCATTTGGTTGGGGGAGGAGGGGTGGCCATTAGAGGTTGTCTCACTTTTTGTTAGAGCCAAAGACATTGTTGGTTTAATGCAAACAATGCATAAGTGGATTCCTAGAGGGATAAATAAGGCAAATAAGCCAAAGAAAATTTTTTGGTCTACATATGCAAAGGGAGGTTTAAAGGATGATGAAACAATTGAGAACAAATGTCAAATGGATTTATTGATTTGCAAGCAGCCTAGTAGATGGACTAGCAAAGTAGGGGGCAGGCAGAGAGCAGATGTTTTGGGGTCTAGTACCTCAAGGGGGAATTGTAATTGAGATTTCTAAAGGAGGTTAGCTAAGACTAGATACCCTCTCTAACTTATTTGTAATTACACTAAGTTTTAACAAATACCAGATGCAGTTTAATATGAGTCCAGATCTCTTACATGTTATTATGCATGGGGAGATGTTCCTAATGCACGGAGGTAGTGTTCTGTGGGTACGTATGGGTAGAGTACTAGTAGGAAGGAGATCCGGAATCGTTTAATATACACTAGAGCTCTAGCAAACTAGTGTAAAGCATGAAAAAAAAATACTTTTTTTATGAGAAATAATTACATATCCATAGGCTTCAAGATTATCAAAATAAGAGTTCCAAAGGTGAACAAGAAAGAAAGTTCATTAGCATAACCAAGATGACGTGCTAACAATCCCACTAACCAATTTGCATCCGATGAGGTGGAGCATGCAGTGTCCCCATTATAGCACTAATGGCTTCACCATCAATTCCAACATCCAACGCAAGAACACAAAATGCAGCCACTGCAGCATTGTAATAGTTGTGGTTTCCTATTGCCTTCAGTGCTCCCAGTTGTATCTGAGAAGCAACTCCAATGGTGGGAAGCCTAAAGTTGGCAACCTTCTTCACCATGTCAACCTATAATAAGTTGACAATATCAACTATGGTTCCCAAATAAACAAATCTAAGTGAAATAAACCACATAAAAGGAAGTACATGTCTTTCTTACTTTGACACCTGGGAAATCTCCAATCCAAACCACATTACATTTGCTCACGTGATCCTTTAGTGCTTCATTCAAATGTTGGTTTCCTGCATAGTTTCATAAAGTTACTGTTATGCAAGTGCCACTGTCATTTGGCAGTAACAACTAACAAGAGTCATCATCTAGGAAGACTGTATAAAGGGAAGATATGAGTGTGTCCAAGATAGCATAGGCTGTAAGAATGAACATTGGAAGGGGAATTTAAAGAGCCAAAGTAAGAAAGATCAAAGTTACATAATAGGGAGGGTCAAGAGTTTGGGGGCAATGAGGTAGAGGGAGTAAGGAGCATTTCTGATATTTTAGAATTGAAAGAAAGGCATTCCCCTCATAATGGAGGATTGAAGGGCAGGGATGATTTAATTCTAAATGGCAGGAACTAAATAGAGTTGCTGAGTAAAGTCATGGGACCAAGGGAGAGATTTCATTTCTAAAGGTCTCTTGATAGTTTTATTGCTTTGAGTAAAGCATGGTTTGAAAATAAAAAACAAATGCTAAAATATTAACAAAGTGTCAGAAAAATCAAAAATCAAAAAAAAAATCAAAAAATTATTAAACATAATATTAATAAAAACATAAACTTAAATTTTAAAATAAATGTTTTAAAAAACCTATTATCTAAAATTAAAATACATAAACATAACATGTAAAGCATATTCGAATGAGAATTTAAAAATAAAATCAATCATATAAAACATTTTCAAGCATGTAAAACCCACAATCTCTTTTTTTTCTCAATTGCATTACTTCAAGTAGCTAATGTGATGTAAAACATATTACATTCCTGATTCTACGAGCCGCCTTTGTGACATGCCCCTCAAGGCAAGCCCAAACAAGTCCATGTTAGGGTCTTTTTTTATCAGCAAAAAGATTTTATTAATAACAGAGAAATATTGAAATACAATAGATATAGGTTGCAGAAAGCATTAACCCAATCTGCAAACACTACAAAGCATTTACAGTTCTGCCCAGTACAAGGTAGATCTATTTGCCCCTTGTTTTGCTAGAGTGTCCGCCTACCCATTTGCAGTCCTTTTGATCCAGCCAAACTGAGTGTCGAACTTCCTGGCAATTATGTCAATTTCTTGGTATATAAATTTGAGCATCCAAGGTGCTGATGTAATGTTTTTAGCCCAAGAAATGACCAGCAGTGAGTCTCCTTCTATTTCTAAGTTTGTTGTACCAATCTGCTCAGCTATCTTTAAGCCTTGAAGTAGAGCCAATGATTCAGCCTGTATTGAGTCACCAAAACCTATTGGACCTGAGAAGAGTGCCACAACTTCACCTAGATGATTTCTAATAACACCTCTATACCTACCCGTCCCGGGTTGCCAAAGGAGCTCCCATCAAAGTTTAGTTTTAATTTGTTCAGTGCAGGTGGCTTCCACTCCGCTCTCACAACTTCTTTAGGAACATCTGTTTGTGCTACTTCAGTCCAGCTTCTAGAATTTCATTCGTGGAGAAGTTTTTGAATAGATCCATGGTCATCACCCAATGTGCAGTTCTGATTTTTATGGTTTCAATGACTTCCTCCTTTGATTTACTTTTTCCATAGAAGATTCTTTGGTTTCTTTCCTCCCATATAGTCCAAACCACAGAAGCTCTTGCTGCCTTCCATAAGCACTTTCCTCTTTTCTTCTGTTGCCTCAGGAAGGAGGGGCTGAATAGACTTACCACATCCTGTGGGGGAGCCCATCTGCCTCCAAAGAGAGAACAAACAATTTCCCAAATACAAGAAACAAAAGAGCAGGATAAGAGTAAGTGGGATAGGGTTTCACTACAATCCATACAAAGGACACACACATGAAGAAAGAGGCATTTATTTGGCCTTCTTTTCTATAGCACATCACAAGTGTTAACCTTCCCTAGGAACACTTCCCAACAGAAGGCTTGCACTTTAGGAGGGATCGGTTTACACCAGATTTCTCTCACTGGAAAGTTCACCCCCAAAAAAGGATTAGAATGAGTGAGCAAACCGAAGAAAGAGGCGCAAGAAAATAAACCATCAGGAGTTGGGGACCATACTCTACTATCAGCTGTAGTTTGGTCTAAATAGACCTTCTCGAGGGTTGAAAGCAAAAGCAATAGGGATTCACATTCATTTTCCCTTAGCCCCCTTCTGAAGCCAAAGTCCGTGTTAGGGTCTTAAATTAATAAATTCTTAGTTCTCACACAAAAAATAATGATTTTATAATTTTAATTGCTTTTTAAGAAGATATTTTATTAGGATGAATGAATGAACAACATTACCAAATAGGAGGTTCTCAAAACTTCGATTAGACTCAAAAAACGCAAAAAAGCGTCAAATTTTCAAATGGTGCACACCTGGGCTGAGGCACAAGAACACCAAGTGTGCGCCTTTTGAAAGGGCTGCACCTAGGACCTGGGTGAGGCGCCTACCCTAAAATGCGCCTAGGCGCGCCTTTTATATCACTAATTATGACTATTAATCACATGATTTATTCACCTAGAAAAGCAAAGAGATTCCAGGGGCAAGGGACTAGGTTGAATACAAGGTAGGGATGGGTGTATTTATATAAATCAAAATATCAAGACAGAAGTAGGTAATAAGTCATGATTTTTTTTTGATAAATGAGAGTAGTTTTATTAATTCAAAAAACAGTAGTACATTCAGCCTAGGAAGAGGCACAAGGTGTTACCTCCCCCTAGGACTGACTAGGGCTGTTCATAAGAAGACCCAACCCGACCAAACCGACCAACCCAAACCGACCAACCCGGACCGGCCCAACCTGAATCGGTCGGGTTTTCTTCAGCACCGGTCGGTTTCGGGTTGTAAAAAATCATAAACCGATGGTTCGAAAACCGAAACCGACCCGAACCGAACCGACTTAGTAGTTACAACCTACTTAGTTCCTACTTAACTAAGTTGTCTCTATCCTAGTTACAACCTAAATTTCTAGTCTTCTAGTTAGGAATGAAATTAATGGCAAGTATTGTAAGACAACTAGACAAGGAATTATTTTGGAAAAGTTTAAAGAAAAGAATCAAAGGATCCTAGTTTCTATGGAGAAGTACAGGTTGCTAAAAGTTTAGGCTTTTTTTTGGGGGGGGGGACAAATTTGCAAGAAAAGGTTTCCTTGGAGTTGGAAGAGAGAGGGGCATAGAGGATTAGAAAAATCCCAAAGAGAAATCAAGGATCATAATGGGGTTGAAGGTTCTTTTTGCATGAACAAGGGTTGCATTTGCTGGGTTGGAGGAAGCTAGTGGTATGAATGTATTGGGAGAGAGGGCGATGGAGGGATTAGGATGTGGAGAATGGAGTTATTAGAAGTGAGGAGACGAGGGAAGAGAGTATGGAGTTGGAAGAATTGATGAAATGGGGAGACAGAGAAATTAACAAAGGGGCATGGAACAAAAGGTTGAAATCACATAGAGTGAAGAATGGAGGAGAGATGTTTTTCATTGTCAAGAAACCAAGCGCAGAGTTATGAGAAGAAATTCATTTGGCATTCTTCTTGTTCAAGAAGTTTAGTCAGATTGGAGGATGGTGCAGTGTACCTAGAAGCTGAAGATGATAAAGTTCTTTCTTTGGTTCAGTTTTGGCTCTCTTTTATCAATGTTCATGATTTGATTGGTGGGTTTGGGATTCTTTCTTTTTTATAATTAACAACATTGTATTAATAAAATGAAAAGAAACACAGATATGGCCAAAGAAGACAACTGTGGGAGTACAAAGCAGCAGTAAGTTGATCACACAGACAATATACAATACAAGACCTGTTCACGGGCTGGGCTTCAGGCCTAACTTTACACTGCATCTGGCCCAGGCTTTGGGCTGGGCCCATTCAAATTTTGGCAAAAGCCAAGACCGGTCCCGGCCCATGAACAGGTCAGTAATACAGGTGGACCCCTGGCCTTGGCATTCCATAGACACCCCTGACAGGTCACCCTAGCCATAAACTATCAGCTAGGGAGTTAGCTGATCTTGGGACCCACTTGAATGAACAATTCAGGTTTCTTCCTAAACTTTTGGCCTCCCTAACCAGGACTCTAAACTTCCAAGCTGGTTCTGCATCAGAATTGATCCATGAAATGGCAACTATAAATCACCTTCAAGGGTGACCCCCAACCAGTTCTGCAAGACCAGCAGTTTAAGCCCTTGAATCACCACCAACAGTTCAGCCTTCAAAGAAACACCAACCCAGCAGCACCACAGAAGCTTAATTTGATGGAACCTAATCCCTTACCACACCAAAAATCCAAGAATCACCTAGGTTGCCTAGACAGCAACCATCAAAGTTAAACTTAATGTGGCTGTCAATCAATGATTATCCTTGACTTCCCATTGGCATATCAGCAATAGTTTGCCATCCTCTTAAAAGATCATCCATTGTTACATTTTTAAATTCTTCACATGCTAAAACCCAATCAGCCACCCTCACCTTGATTAGGTAAACACCAACCCCCATCTCTTTGTCATCAAATACCCTTGCATTTCTCTCCCCGAATATGCTCCACAAGATTGCTTTTCTAATGCAAGGCCACAGCAGCTTCATTCTCTTGGTGCTACAACCAAGCAGGTCTTGAGGAAACAACTCTATAGCATTTCGAGGGGCATTCCAAGACTTACCAAACAGACTGAAGAAGTAGTTCCAAATCTGGCAGGAGTAGTGACAAGATAAGAAAATCTGACATTGCTTTTGCTTGAGTGTTCTCTGAAAATACACAAACACTGTTATTTATGGGTTTTCCTTAACCCATTAGCTAAAAGCTTAAGAGTAAAGAATGCATGTTAAATATTAGTTGAATTTTTATGCATTCAAGAATCCTACATGCAAATGCAATTGTTCAAAAGACTTTAGCAAATATAACTGGTGATGACAAAGTTCAGGCATTACATAATTACACCACTTAAGCATCTAGCTGAATCCCAAATATTTCCATCCTCCTAAACACAGCAACTAAAACCTCAGTTGCCTAGTTATGTCATGTCATAAGAGGTGAAGCTCAATTTATGCATTCAGCAACACTTTAGTTTTGTAGCCAAAAAGGAGCAAAGACCATTTGCCTGCTTGGGGCTTTGAAGGGAACCATGAGCAAAGCACTTTTCATGGACCACACTAACCTTTGCCTCCATCACAAGGTATAGATGGCAATTGCCATTCCAACTGGCATCCCATGGAGAGGTTATTTAACTGTATAATTTGTATGCAAGGGTTCATCATACACCCCACCCTTCCATCAACTGCCCTTACACTGACCAAGCACTAAACCAAGGCCAATGTGTAGCTATGTGCCGGGGCCTTGGATTCTATGCCACCATGAACTCCCATTGTCGAGTCCTCAGGAAATATGAAAGTTTCCTTTTTCTTCTATCAACTGGCAGAGAGAAGATATCTTCAAGTAACAGGCACTACAGCTCACACCTCAACCCCTTTGTCACCTTCTGGCTTCGTAGATTATTTCTCTTATGGGATCAGCCCTTATGTTGTACCTGTGAGTTCACCTGCCTTTCTCACATCAGAACATCTCAAACTGGGTATACATCCTGTATATCACAGCTCAGCCACATCCACCCTCAATGCTGAGTATATAATTTTCTCTTTTACATGAGCATGAACTCAAACCAAATTGATATCATGGAATACTTAAGAAAAACACATACCAATTGGAAGGACGGCAAGCTTGCTGCCATTCATGTGAGAAAACAAACGGCACTTGGTCATTGCATAATTCCTCATTGTCTTGTGCCTCTCTAGATGATCTGGTGTGAGGTTTAAAAGCACGGCAACCTGAATGGTGCCCTTAATGTTATGAAGATGGATAGAAGAGTAATTCTCTAACCATCACAGTCAAACATCCTAACCTACTTACTGAAGGACAGAAATGCTTATGAGGAATTTCCATTTGATAGCTGCTAACTTCCACCACTGCAACCTGAAGCATGTAATGGTGGATATTGAGATTAATAATATATACTGCAGAATATATTATAATCAATACCAAGTACAAACCTAGACACATCATGGAAAATAAGCAATTTTTTAGGATCATAATGCTAAGAAATCAATGAAAGGAGAAAAAGGAGTTGAAAGAGATAGTACTGTTTAATTGGAATTAGAAGCAGATGGACAAGGCAAAAAGTAAACTATAATGGCATAGATGGAAAGAAAAAAATGGAAAATCAAATAAAAAGAAAGCTTGCCTCAAATGGCTCCAAAAAAGATGAACTTAGGCCTTTAATGGCAGCATCAGAGAGTGGATTCCCAAGGTTTCCTCCAATGAAAACCTTAGAACCCAAATTAGAAAGCATCTGCATCAAACAGTATCCAGATAAGACCATATGTAATTAATAAAAGCATGCTGCTACTCCACGTGATAGCAGGAAAAGCAATGCCAACGATGGAAAACTGAAGCTATGTTAACAAAAGCTTAAATGTCAAATCCACTAAGACATAATGAGAACCTTGCAGTTCAAAATCCTATTATTCTTAAGATAATTTGCTTTAAGTTTTGGAAACAATTTTTCATATGAAAATTAATCATGTTGGTCCAGCAAGTCAGAAGATCGTTCTATTTTTATGCTTATTAGATTATCCATTGCAGAAACTGTTATGACCGCTTAAGCAAATGGTAGTGCTCCCTTCTAGTTATTTTTTTATTTCCCTCAACAGATAGCATTCTCTCTTGTTGGTCGCGTATGATAGAGTAGCTTCTCACAATCCAATTGCAGATAAGCCTTTAATATTTGTGAATCTCAGTGACAAGATGACAATTCAAATAAAAAGCAAGAAATTTTAACACCTTGAAGAATAAAAGAACAATATAAAAACCTGTCCAGCAAAAGTAGTAACTGTAGATTTTCCATTGGTTCCTGTGACAGCTAAAATCTTTGCGCTTTTTGGAAGAACCTCTGCTGCAAAGTCCAATTCAGAAACCACTGGCCTTCCCTGCACTCCAACACTAACAAGATAACGCAACCACTGCAAGACCTCTCAAGTCCAAAGCTAAATATTTATAATTGAGAAACTAACAAAGCAACTTTTTAGACATTTCTAAAGGCAAATGCCTAGATGGACCAATTATTCATTGTGAATTTTTCATAATTTATGCAACTTGGAGGCACCATCTTTATTAATGTGTATAATGTACAAATACACATACATAAAGGTTAGTAGGCAAGGATGGTAAAAAATATAAAATATGTGCGTGGTGCCATGACAAGTGTAAAAAGAATAGCATTTAAACAATGGCATGAAATATTTGACAAGATTACCATATAAAAATAAGTATGACCAATGTGCATGGTGCCATGGCAACCAAACGTTTCCTTTTCTATGTACAAACTACTAAAGCATTATAGTGTAATTATGGAAGGGACAAAAAAAGATATTGTATGTTTAGAAAGAAGTGCATTATATCTCTTGGCTTACTGATTGCAATAGAAAGGAAAGACCATAATTCTCAAGAGGAACCCCAGGGGAGACAACCACCCTGTCTGCTTTTTCCAGAAGCTCTTTATCACAATGTCCAAGAATTGTTCTCAGGTCATTGCACTTTTCAAATAGAGGATCTCTCTGCAATTTATAAAACTTTTACTGTATAATGATAGGTTAAAAAATAATTCAAAATAAAATGCAGTAACCCAAATTGAAAGCTAGGGTCATAACATACTTCCAATGGTCCCAATTTCTTATTCTGATCAATAGCTATGACAGTAGCACCTCTAACAAGAGCAAGCCTTGCCGCAGCTCTTCCAGATACACCTAGACCTACAACCTGCATACAATTGAAGAATAACCAATCATTTCACCAATAATCACTCTCAAATGCATTCTTGTACATGACAACTTCCACAATTTCACATGCATGGTAGACATGCATTACGTGTAGTTTTCCAGCCGTGTGCAGACCTCGAGTTGAAATACGATATTCAAAAAAAAACGAATAAATAAGATACTCACGACAACAGTTTGGCCTTTAAGGTCTTGTATACAAGAACAAGACTGTATCCTCCCATGGCGCAATGTGGGTTTTGCAGGAATAGGAGTCCTCGTTGGAGCTAGGGATTGGTGTCCGAATGTAATCAATTGAGCGCTCATTTCACCAAAATCACAGACCGGACTGCTGCATTGCACTTTCAGAGAAACTGAAATTCTAGGGCGGGAAAGTAACGTAGCCCGTAAAATGGTCAGGAATGACGGGGCAGATGGGCAATCTGGATTTTTGAGGAATACGCATAGGCTCCCAATCGTTTATTGGAAGAAACTACTAATGGCAAATACGGAAGATGTTACGGAACCATGTTCCGAATACATGGTTGGAATGTGTTGTGAGGCACTAATGGGGCGGATGTGAATTCGCATATGCGAGCTCGATGCGCCAATTGAATATTTGAAATGGAATCCGGCTTTGCTTTACTGATTTGTGGGGTCGTGCTATCCCTCGTCTTGTTTAGCCCTTTCTATTATAAAAAAATGGAGTCGACTTTAATTAGGGTGGAGTTTCTGCGCGCACACTTTGCGCAGCATGAGACGCGACACGCGTGCTTGAAACGTGTGATACATTGTTCACTCCATCATGCCTGAAGCGGACTTCACACTTTACTGGCAGATTCATCCTTCGCAATCGTCTTGGGGCAAGCCAGACTCACTTCATCCTTCGGCAAAAGAATAAACGGCATCAACGAAGGTGAGATTAACATAACCCCTTTCTCGTCTCAGAAATAAGAAGTGGTGATTATCAAAACCCCCACTCCTCTATGCTCTATACCTCGAAGAAGCGATCAATGCAGCTCATAAATACCTTAGCCCTAGCTCGAATGTCAACGAAAGGTTTCCTCTTGGAAAGCAATGGTATCACCTTCATATCGTTCTGTTGGTTCACATACGCCAGAATCTAATGCATTCCGTTCTCTTTGGAGGGATCATGTCTAGACTCATGCTAGAGTTAGATGTCTCTCGGCCAAGTCGAGCTTAAAATCCTTTAGATAAGTGAAACCTCCACGGAGAAGAAGCAAGCAGGTCAACTGTTCCTTCAATTCTAATGGCTTTACTCTCTCTCTCTTTCATTAAATCGGTGAAGAGATGGTAGAAATTGGGAAATCTAGTATATAAATTGCTTGTGGATTTTAGACATAATTAATGTTGAGCGAGCTGGCATCTATTTTGGCTTCCAGTTGTTTTTGGAAATAAGGCCATGTTTGGGAGTCCTTAAAAATAAGTGATTATTTGAGTCATTAAACACTTATAGGTATTTGGGAAATAGCAGGTCAACTGTTCCTTCAATTCTAATGGCTTTACTCTCTCTCTCTTTCATTAAATCGGTGAAGAGATGGTAGAAATTGGGAAATCTAGTATATAAATTGCTTGTGGATTTTAGACATAATTAATGTTGAGCGAGCTGGCATCTATTTTGGCTTCCAGTTGTTTTTGGAAATAAGGCCATGTTTGGGAGTCCTTAAAAATAAGTGATTATTTGAGTCATTAAACACTTATAGGTATTTGGGAAAAAAGTCTGAGATAAGTACTAAGAGCGTATTTTTTAAGCCCAAATTTCCAATCTTTTTTGAGTGATTATATAATAAGCACTTATTCAATTATTTTCTTCCAAAATTCTGGTTGAATTTTAAAATACCACTTATAAAACTATTCATAGTTGAATTTTATAAAAGTATTTTGGTGAAAGCATTTTTACAATAGCACTTATAAAAACACTTTTATAAAAGTATTTTTTCTTAGACAGTGTATGTCATTAGTTCCGATCATATTGATGTACATATACATTTATTGTTTCATGTTGATATTGATATGTTTCTATGAAATTACCCCTTAAATTGGACACTTATGATACTCGTATTAATTTATAATGTTCTCAACCGTTTGATAAACATTGAGAGTTTATCCTATCAAATCTAACACTGATGTGCTACCAAAGAAGTTGGAGCAGATTGTCTTAGTTGATAGGGTTAGATTCAAAGCACATGCAATGTGTATTTGTTGAAAGACTAAACCCGAACCATTTTTCAGTTATGCCCTATACCTTAGAAATTGATGGGCAAAACTATAAAGTTACACATAACCCCTATGTTTGATTATGTTATTGCACTAAGTGTCTGATTGGATTGTCTTTGATATGTCAATCAATGAAATTCATTGAGAGTCAAAACATGGGTATGTTTTGACTGTGTGGATGACCATTGAGAGTCAATGAAATTCATTGAGAGTCAAAACATGGGGCAGTATGAGAATTCATCTGTGTGGATGACCATAGTGATGGGATCAGCCACTTTGTCAGAGAAAGTGAATGATAGGGTTTATATTTTCTCTAATAGAAACATAAACTGTCGGGAGTGGATTTTATATGTGTTTGAGATTTGATATTGCCATATATATATGAAGAATGTTTGCAAAATGTTTTAATTCTCGATATCCATTCGAATAGAGGGTGTGACACTGTACCTTGCAGTTAAGGGATATGTCCTTATCTGTCAGGTAGTGTTTAATCATTATGGGCCGAGATGTCAACTGTAAGAGATAATTACAGGGTTGATTACCTGATGGACTTTATCTTACTTAAGTCCATTTATCCTTAAGTCTTCATAAGATGACTAAATTCAATGATCATTTAAGTGTAAATGTTGTGTCATTTTGAGCCGATAGTGATGTGTTTAGGGGTTTATTGTGTTTAGTAGTAAATTCGACCAAGACTTTTCACAGAGGCTAGGCCAAACTCATGTGGATTTATGTGATGTCATTGTGGGGTCCTACGCCATACAAATCAGGCTCAAGTTGGCCATGCAACACTCTTGAGTCATGACCCTTGTAACTGGTGGGCATAAAGTCCATAATTCATATGATTAACTAAGTTGTCACATGAAGTTGTCATGTGATACGAAGCGAATCTGGGTATGGAGCACCTAATATGGGTTTGGATTTGGGGAGAACAGAGTAGACCTCTCGGCTGTCRATTTCCAGACTGATCTAGGGACTGCCACAGCATTCAAATGGAATCCCCTCTCTAATGCCAAGAACTTCTCGATTGAATATGGGGTTTTGATAAGGATAATAGGGCTGCCATTCCATCTGCGGAGACGAGAAGTTGCAGAGGCCATTGCAGTGATGTGTGAAGGGAGATTGGATGGTGCTTACTGGGTGGACCTCCACTATGTGGCTATTCTTCTCAATGGAGTGAGGCCTGAAGATATACCAAGAAAGGTTGAGATTAGAGTGGAGGGAGTTTTCATGTCAGTCTGGTTCGTTTCCTCCATTGAAGCAAGCTTGTGGAAGGAAGCAAGAATGGAGGGAGGAGAACAGGTGAAGGAAGCAGATTGGAAGTCTCAAAAAAATCTGGGTCTTACACTAACATGGGAGTCATAAAAACAAGGGTTTTTTGGAAAGTCAGAGGCTTAAAACATAAGTAACCCCTCTGACATGCAGCAGGTCTTTTTTCACAGGTGGTTGGGAACAATGCCATGAAAAGATTTAAGGTTGGGGAGGGGAATAAAAAAGAGGCAAGTTTTAAGAAGCCAGCTTTTGGGCCAACAAAGAAACTGGGTGAACTGGGAGTGGGTCGAAATGGTGGGCCTAATATTCAGGTGGGGTTGGACAATAACAGACAAGAATGCTGAGCCTATGGACCCTCTTATTTCTCCTGGACCAAGGGAGAGAAAATCTTATTCAGTTGGGCCTAGTTTTGAGCCCATTTCTAAGAATCCAATGTCACATGATCACTTAAGGTAGCATGCGAACAGTGGGAGGGAACCTTTGATAGACGATGTCAACCGTCTATCTTCTTCATCATCGAGTTTTTCTGTTCATTCTCGAAAGGGAGGGCAGAGTCAACACTCAAGTTGCCCCCTGCAGTGGATCCCAACGAAGAACCTGAATCAGCTGTTTGCCTGAGAGGTAGAACCCAAGAAGCATCAAGCGGTCTGTGTTAGAAAGGCTAGAATCTGGTGTTTGGCCTGGAGAAGGAAGCAGTAGTGATGAGGACTTTGAGTCAGATGGAGCCTCGAGTCTAGGTAGTCTCGATCCGTGCACAAGACAAAACTTGATAGAAATAGGAAGTTTGAATACATAGGTTATGTTCTTAGAAGAAGAGGGGAATGTTGCAAACTATTCCAAGGAAGAAAGAAGTTAAGGAGGCATTGCAAATGCTGGACAGCTCCTTCTATCTCAAGCTGAGGAAGTCAACGTAATCTCTCAGGGCTCTCGGGATTTAAATGGAAAAACTCAACCCTCTCCATTGAACTTGGATAAGAATGAACCAGAAAGGGGAGTACTGGAGTCGAGTCTTCAAGGGAGTAAGTTAGATGTTGCTGTTAACTTTACAAACGTTCCCTTGTAAGGAAATGACACTAGACTCGATCGTCTTTGGCAAACAGTCCAGTCCTAGCTTCTCGAATGCTCTCCTTAACCAATCAGGTATGATTTTCAATTTATTTGTGGATACTAACCAGTGTGATATGCTTGAAATAGATGTACCACCATCTCATACAGAATGTACGACAAAAGTATGCTTAGAGGTGGAAGAAGGGAGAGTTGGGGAAGGCAATCTTGAAGAAATGAGTAAAGAATTAGATGAAGCTTGGAGACTGATTTGCATGGAGTTTGAGTTACTCAAACAAAATGAAGAATATATGGATGGGTTAAATGAAGTGGTCATGGATAGGGGAAAGGAAGGGGATGACCCTGTTAGAGGAGAACTTCAGACCTCATTACGATGGCTTTTTACCAAGATTGTTGGGAGGTGATAAAAGATGATCTTTGTGAGGTTTTTAATGAGTTCACAAAGAAGTATATAACCAGTTGAGGCATTAATTCCACATTATTGGCCCTATTTTCAAAGAAAGTTGATGCTCTTCATCCTAAAGATTTTAGGCCAATTAGTTTGGTGACTAGTATTTATAAAATCGTGGCCAAGGTATTGTCTTTAAGGATTAAAGAAATCCTCCCCTCCCTTATTAGTTAGGCTCAAGGGGCTTTCATCCAAGGGCATCAGATAATTGATCAGATTCTGATTGCCAATGAATGTTTGGAAGAGATGAAGAGGTCCAAGCAGAGAGGCTTTGTCTGTAAGCTTGATTTGGAGAAAGCCTATGATTTGGTGGACTGGCAGTTCCTACTAGAGGTTTTGAGGAAGTGTGGGTTTGGGGAAAGATGGTGTAGTTGGATGACTAGTTGTGTTAACTCTTGTCACTATTCCATCCTAGTAAACGGGGTGCTGAGGGATTTTTTTCCTGCTAGTAGGGGAATCAGACAAGGGGACCCACTTTCACCCTTCCTCTTTACCTTGGTAGTTGATGTGTTTAGTCAAATTATCACTAGGGCTGATAGGAAAAATGTGATAAGGGGTTGAAGAATAGGCACAAACCGAATTTCAGTCACTCACCTTCAGTTTGCAGATGACTTGATGATCTTTTATGAGGGAGGTTTCGGTGAGAATGTGGAAAATTTGAAAGAATTGATTACAGTTTTTGAAGGAGTCTCTAATTTGTAAATCAATATAGGAAAAAACTGCATAGCAGGAGTAAATTTAGTTTTTTAGGAGGTTGAGGCAATTGCAGGCTGTCTTGAGTGCTCCATTTCCTCCTCGCCTTTGTCTTACTTAGGGCTTCCGTTGGGAGCAAACCCTAGGGAGAGTAGGTTTTGGACCCCAGTCTTGGAGAAGTTAGAAAAGAGATTAGTTGTTTGGGATAAAAATTATATCTCTTTAGGTGGGAGGATCACTTTGATAAAAACTACCCTCATGAATCTACCTACCTATTATCTCTCTGTCTTTAGGATACCGTCTAGGGAAGCGAAGAAGTTGGAAAATTTTATGAGAGATTTTATGTGGGAACTGAGAGAAGGTAAAAAAGACCATTTAATTAAGTGGGGGTTGTGGGTAGAAGCAAAGAGGAGGGAGGATTAGGGCTCGGGAATGTGCTTAAAAAGAACTCATCTTTGTTAGGGAAGTGGTTTTGGATATGGCCTTTGGAGTGGGATAGATTCTGGCACAAAATAGTGAAGAGTATTGATGGATGTTCAGAGAGTGGTTGGGATGTTGGTGCATCAAGGACGACTAACCTAGCCACACCTTGGAAAGCAATGCACAAAGTTCTTCCGCAGTTCCTTAGCTGTGTCAGGTATAATGCTTGTTCAGGTAATTCTATTCGGTTTTGGGAGGACATTTGGGTTGGAGATCTCCCTTTG